TACACCACGGAGCGGGGGTCAACTGCTAAGCCACGCCTACCCCCGCTATTTAAGACCTGACCTCGTGGTGATCTGTCTCTCTTTCTACCTACACCAACCAGCCAGCAACACCTCCGCCTGCCTGGCGGTCCTCTCTCCCGCTGGCGAGCATGGCGACCCACAAGCTGTCCTTCTCTGAGCGTCCTCACCAACCAGCTCTCTCTACATCACGCTTGTAACCATGCTGCCTTCCCAGCACCAAGCTGCATTGTACATCCAATACAACATGTATATAGAGAGCACATTGTGAGTTTCCTTTCTCCATTCCATCCTGAGTGTGAACACCAAACAATTTCATACCCCACAATCTTTCATATGATCCGAATTTTCATTAGAAAGAGCCAAAATTTTATCTTTTGTGCAAAATATATGACGTTTATATTCAAAATATACCTGGTCTTGCAAGGAATCCAGTAATGTCAATTATATTATCCTAACTTTACTTTACTTTTACTTTTATCCTCTTCGCCACTGATCGGCTTGTTAGCCTCTTGGGCGATCGGTCACGTCTCTTTTCCTTTATATTCTTCACCAAAAGGTCGGCTCGTTAGCCGCCCGGGCGATCGGTCACGTCTCTGTCACGCACTGTTGGCAAATACTGGGCATGCACCGGCTCCTGAATGTACCTGAACCCGCTCCAGTGTTGGTCAAGTCTTCTCTTGAAAGAGCTCACACTCGGTGCCGTCACAACACTCTCTGGTAGATTGTTCCAAGAGTTTACAACCCTCACTCCGAAAAAGTTTGCCCTCACGGTTTTCTGGACTTGCGGCTTCTTCAATCTTGAGCTGTGACCCATTGTCTGAGGTATTAATTATTACTAAAAATGTAAGCCTAATGTTTTCACCCAAACATTTCTCTGGTAAGGAGGGAAGGTGGGGAGAAGGGAGGGAATCAGCGGGGTGGGGAGAGGGGGGGAGTGGAGGTGGGGTATTTTGATTGGTGGCTAGTGTCTGGGTGAAGTATAATTTGTTTATTTACTGAAGATATTTGTTTTAGCTCATAAAATTCATACAAATTACCCAGCCAGAATATAATTTACATTGCTGGAATTCTTATAAGATTGTGATTATTTTAAATATAAACATCGTGGAATTTGCATTAGACATACAAATTTTAGATCTAATGTAAGAATTTTGATTAGAGAGCCAAAATTTTATCTTTTGTGCAAAATATATGACGTTTATATTCAAAATATTCCTGGTCTTGCAAAGAATCCGGCAATGTCAATTATATTATCCTAACTTTAGTTTGAGGTATTATTTATTACTAAAAATGTAAGCCTAATAATTTCACCCAAACATTTCTCAGAAAGGGAGGAGCCAGCGAGCGTGGGAAGAGGGGGGGGGGGCGGGAGTTAAGTCCGTTATTTGAATGGACATTAACCTGGCGACTGTATTTCTCTTAAATATTAATTGTATGTGCATACCATCATAAAATTAATTTGTTATTTTTACTACAACGTAGGTATTGTGTCGGAAAAAGTGGAGTTTGGGAGTCGGCCCAGTCTCTATTTCAATTAATCCCATATGTTCTGTTATTTCATTTACGCGTTTCTCGTTTTACACATTACTCCGGGGGTTCACTTGACAGAGTAAATGAAGACCCAACTGTATTTTCAATATCTGGTATCCAGATGAATAGTTAAAATTTTAACTGAACACATAAATACAATTAAGGTAAATAAAGAAAAAATAAATATATGGGTAAATAAAAAACTCACATAGGATTAAGTTGGAATCTCTTTAATATTAGTTATTAATTATTTTAATTTTCTGTCTATATTCTCATATATAACTCACCTGTCTGGAGAACCGACATTAAGCGGCAATGTCCATATGGTGTCGTTATTATTGTAATCGTTGTGGTGGTTGTCATCCACAAAGTTTAGGTTAACTTTTCATATACTGTACAGTATAGTGAGTCTGTGGTAAACATTTGGTGCAAAAGGTATTATTATATACTACATAAGTAAATATCAGGGGGACCCCGGGTTACGTACGGGCAGGCAGCTATTAAACAGGGAGGTATTACTGTCTGGGAAGATATTGGAAGCATAATGTGTTGTCTAATGGTAGACCCTGCTGCCATATGGTGTAATGACCACGGTCGTACACGTCAGTTAACGTAAAATCAGACGATTCATATTACGCTCAATAGCCCACAAAACATGTTGAGTCTCCCATCTGACGCGTCCGTTTTCTCATTGCTCCCAAGCTTAGGTGCCGTCCATTTTCTCTGACTTCCTGAAACCAACTTCTCTATAAAGTGAATGTGAATGTGAGAGAGAACGCCATTGTTTTGAGTTAACTTAGAGATGTCTGGGATCATATGAAGATCCTCCCCCCCAAACCTACTTGGGGGGGAGGATCTTCATATGATCTAGCCTGGGGGGGAGGATCTTCATATGATCAAGCCCAGTCGCGCTCATCTGAAGATCCACCCCCCCCCTAACCTAACCTAACCTAACCTAACCTAACCAAACCAAACCTAACCTAACCTAACCTAACCTAACCTAACCTAACCTAACCTGACCAAACCAAACCAAACCAAACCAAACCTAACCTAACCTAACCTAACCTAACCAAACCTAAAGTACTTGGGGGAGGGATCTAAGGATCTTCATATGATCTAGCCTGGGGGGGAGGATCTTCAGTTGGATACTTTGGGGGGGAAGATCTTCATATGATCTAGCCTGGGGGGGAGGATCTTCAGTTGGATACTTTGGGGGGGAAGATCTTCATATGATCCGATGTCTGATTACAGGACACTAGTCGATGAGTTGGAGCAGAGGTTTTTGAAATCAGCCCCTTACAATGACTGTTACCTCATTACAGTACTTAACAATTACAAGTATTCTCTATACAGTACTATAAAACTATTGATTTAACTAATATTGTTGATATATTGCAAAAAAAAATAAACCCTTGCTATTGTGTGGTTTGCTTACTAATGGCAGTGGTGCGGCAGCGCCATCTATTGAGGAATTGCTAAAGGTTGTCTGCTGGTCCCCTTTGCAGGAATGTTTGTTTCTTTATATGTAGGCTCTCATACTTGGACACCTATTTACAGTAGGCTCTCATATTTGGATACCAATTTAGACTGTAAAAACCCCACAAAATTAAAATCTTCCAAATTTAAATACAACTTTGTCATCCAAGTAAAAACACACACACTACAACATTGGCTGTCCTTATGCTTTCAACTTTATTACCACTGGTTGGTAGAATTTTTTTTTAAATTCAGAAACATTAATTTAAATATATATGAACAGTAAATAAGTGTTGCTTTCATATTCTTATGTAGAGTAATGATGATATGTTTATACATGTGCTCACTTACATACGTGATCTCACTTTTTTTTACCCTTAATTGTTAGCTACTTCCATTGTTCCATTTATTAACATTAAATAACATTACTTAAAACAACCATATTAATTTTTCTACATTAATTTTAATACAGCTACAATGGAGGACTTATTTTCTTCAGTTTTATAATTATGTAGAACCAATCTGTCACTGGTTTTGCAAAAAACCGAGTTGTTTATTTACTTTTAATTTGTTTTTAAATAAAGATTTTTTGTTTTATATAGACGTTGATATACATGTTTACATTTGCTTACCTTCTACTGTTGGAAAATATTTCCCGTCGTTGTCATACCGACAAAAACAAGAGAAAGAATGTAAACACTACAGCCCCTAAGATGAGGTGACCAAGTGTATAAAATGAGTGCTGTATTAAAGACTTCACCTTCTTATACAGATTTATTTTTAAATTGATGAAAATGACGACCGATAAGCAGTTCTAAGTGACGATATTCAAAGAAGTGTGTGTACTTATGCCAAAAGGGCTGTATAATTATCAAGCAACGGTTTCACTGGTGTCGGTAGTAGGTTGGAACAGGGTACTACTGCCTGGGAAGATATTGGTAGACCCTGCTGCTGTATGGCATCACGAAAATTGTGACCAAGTCCCAGGTTGCTGATCTGACTTTCTGCCTCATTTACACACAATTGCAGGGTCTCAATTGTTTCTCTTGCTTTGACAACACAACATACATATATTGTTTCTCACTTTTGATTTTTTTTTTCATTTTTGTATTTATTATTATTATTATTATTATTATTATTATTATTATTATTATTACATTTTTGCCCCCTAGGCCCCAATGTGGGTCAGTGACCTGTGCCCAGGTGGGCTAATACCCGTAAAAAAAAAAATTAGAATTTCATTTCCAAAATTAGGGTGCGTCTTCCACGATGCAGCATCTTCCAAGCTTAAAAATACGGTAACACTTGTTACGCGAGTGAGTGTCGAGTCTGCCAGTACGAATGGCATCCCATGATTGTGTCCCTGGGGATAGCCATGAATTTCCAATTGCTACTGAAGTTAGATTATTTTCATCCCCAAACATCAGAGAGTCTGATGTTAGTAGTTTAGTTAGTGTCAGTTATCTACTTAAGAAAGTCATTAATCTCCTGAACTATTCTGTCAACCTGTATGATCTCCAAAATCTAATGTATCTCTGTGAATAGTTCCTTGTTCACAGCCGTGCTGAGTTTGTAAAACTTGTGTTAACAGCGTCTCTATTTCACGTCTTCCTGGCAAGCTCAATCTCTTTTTACGGGGATTAGCCCACCCGGGCACAGGTCACTGACCCACATCGGGGCCTGGGGGTAGATAATGTATGTATGTTGTGTTGTCAATAGTAAGAGAAACAATTGAGACCCTGCAATTGTGTGTAAATGTAGGAGAAAGTCAGATCAGCAACCTGGGACTTGGTCACAATTTTTGTGATGACATATGTTCTTTGACTTTTCCATTTTTTAATCACGGTTTCTGTGCTGGTTCATATTTATTTGCTAAAGTGGTTAATGTTTTAAAGCAAATTTTATTGAATTATGAATGGCAAATGAAAAAAAATTAATAGAGGGACTTAATGAGGTAGGTTAGGGAAAGGAACTTTGAAAATGTATGTTTTATTTCCAAAGACTTCATGTACTATTAACCGACCTTTTGGATTATCCGTCGGCCCCATATGTGGTCGGTTAATATCAATACATATAAAAGCTACACAAGATTATCTTTAGCTGCTAATATGTGCTCAAAGGCTGCCTCATAACTAATATAAAATGCTGACCGATATTACATACCTGTACAATAAAATATGAGCACTAAGAATTATTTTTAATCTTAACAAGAGGGAAAAGTTTGGACTAGCGAAATAGTGTTTGAGATATACTGTATGTAGACAATTAAATAAGAAATGCTGCATACATATCACACGAGAAAAACTTGTACAAATAAAGGTAATCTTATTATTGATTGAACTCCTGTTTATTGCAATATGCTAAGTTCATTTTTTTCCAATGCAATTTTTCCTGAATTTAAGTCTCATTACAGTACAGCATTTACTATAACAATATATAGTACAGTATGTGAATAGTAAACATGTCAGCGTATATTCTTTTAACCAGTAATACCACTCTTCTTGCAAACAATATACACAAAAATATAAAATTTAAACACATAACATGGAAGTTCATTACGATCACTATTTACAGACCACAGGAATTTTCTATTTACATCAATAAAGTACACACTACACACTTATATTTTAGTTTAACTAATGAACACTCATTCTGAGTTACCCGGAATCCAATACACTATTTTCTTTGTAGTTTTACCTACTGGAAATATATCAGGGAAGTACACAAAAACTGCAGCCCAGGACTCAAAGCCAGGATGCTTTGTAGTTGCATGTTTTCTCAAACTACTTTCAAATCTAAAGTTTATATCACAAATTGGGGAGTGAACAGATTTTTCTCTTGTTTGGGTTCTCATATGCAATGCAAAATTGTGTGGCAAAAAGAAAGCACTGCAGTAATCACACTGGTATCATTGATCTTCAAGGTGAATTCTCCTATTATTGAGCAAATTTGCGTACGATTTGAAATCACCAGGAAACAAATCGCACTTAAAAGGTCTTTCTGAGGTATGAGTAAACTTATGTTCTCCAAGCTGACAGCAAAGAGAAAACATTTTGCCACACTCTGAACACCTGAAAGGTTTCTCGCCCATAAAAATTGATGTGTGTGCTTTCAATTCATACTTGTGGGAAAAAACAGCTTTACATATAAAGCAAACAAAATGCTTCTTCCCATTATGTAAAACCAAGTGTTCGGTTAGAAAAGCTTTAGTTGTGCAAATTAGTGGACAAAGGGGACACTTAAACAGCCTACAGAATGCATGTGTTTTCATGTGTTGGACCAGGTCACCTGTTGAATAACAATACTGGCTACATATACTACATACTACACTTCTTATGAACTTAAGGTTCCTGTGTTCATATTGCTTAGCAGTATTGGAAGCACTTGGCTGGCAATCAACTGTAACTGCCAAGTATAATTCTCTTGATTTATTTACTTCAATACTCTGTCTTATTACAGCCCTACCTGGATATTTCTTTTTCTGAGAAGTATTTTCTTGTACTTGTCCATTTAGGGCGTTTTCTAAAGGCTGTTGAGCATGGCTTCCTGTGACCCCTGAAGCTTTCTTTTTAACACCTGAAGTTAATAGTAGTTTTGATGTGTTCTGATCCAAAAGTCTCTTTGCTCTTCTTCTTACAATTCTTTTGCTCTTCCTGGGAGGAGCAAAACTCACATCATTAAGTGTCTGTAAATCTCCACTAGCATCAAGATCACTAGATACCGGTAATGTAGAATTGTCCATTGAAAGTACCAATTCTGCAGAGGGAATCAATAATGGGATGTTAGACTTATTACAAGAGGGACCTTCTACCAGAGACTCCATACATTTATGTTCTGGATCTATTGTAGTTGTGTTTTCACAATTGTCTTCCTCAATGTTCTGTAAGCATAAATAGTTTTTTTCTTCATTTGCAGATCTAATACAACTTTTTTTATTTAAAATAATGGATGGGAAAAAGTTTTCATTCACTTCATAGTCTTGCACTCCATCTTCAAATCCCAAAAAATCATTTTCTTCTGATAAGTGTTTCAAAACTTTCTGGGGAGCAAAACTTATTTTCTCTTCAGTTTTGCTGGAATCACAAAGTAATTTTTTGCTTGGGTCCAAAAACTTCTCCACCATTTTTTCTGAGGATATTGTTCTGATATAATCTGCTCGAGAACTGAATGGCTGCCCTGAGTCCAACCCAAAACTGAATAGTTCCTGTTGATCCTCTCCATTATCTGACCCAGAACCAAAAGGCTGTACAGGATCCTCTTCAATATCTGACACAGAACCAAAAGGCTGTACAGGATCCTCTCCAATATCTGAACCAAACCCAAAAGGCTGTGCCGGATCCTCTTCAATATCTGACCCAAAACCAAAAGGCTGTACAGGATCCTCTCCAATACCTGAACCAAAACCAAAAGGCTGTGCAGGATCCTCTCCAATACCTGAACCAAAACCAAAAGGCTGTGCAGGATCCTCTCCATTATCTGACCCAAAATTGAAAACTTGCCCTGGATCCTCCCTATTATCTACCACAAATCTAACTGGCTGCTCTGGATTCTGTACATTGTATGCCACATATCTGAAAGGCTCTTCTGGATCCTCTCCTTTACCTTCCTCACAAAGACATAATTTTTCAACAGAGGCTCTACCGAGTACCTTGGCTTGTAAAGAATTCTGATGAACATGTAGATGAGTGACAACAATATCTGGAGGATTGGGGAAAGTATTAATCTTCTGTGTAATGGTAAAATCTTGTACCTTTAGTGGTTGCTTATATAAAGATATGCCAGGAGAATGACATATATTATTTGTAAATTTAGTCACATGCTTACTGCTGGAGTTTCTCATGTTTGTTTCTATAACACTGGTTGAAGAACTTTGATGTGAAGGATGAGAGCATTGTGAGCAGTTATGTGTGCCACATGTCAGGGAGTGTGCACATTCTGTGGTACAATGAAAATTTAATTGGTCTGTACTTTGGAAAGACTTCCGACATGTATTACAAATAAAGTGTTTTATACTAGTGTTGCTACGCAGACAAGAAGAATAGTTTTCTTGACATAGTGTTGTGTTCGTCTTATCTTCAACAACTGATTTTTCTGTTGTGTTTTTAAAACAGGTAGAGTCACCAGATTTTTTCAAACCCTCATTTTGCTTTTCAATTACACACTGAGATTCACGCTTCCCACAAATATTGTTCGGGTTACCATTATCATCTTTATGGCAAGATTCCAGAGAGTCTTGCCTGCTATGACAACAAGCAACACTACCATCTTTGCTACTGTCACATACAGCCAAAGATGCTTCATCTCTTCCTTCCTTAAGAGACTTGAATAACAATTTTCTCTGGCCACTTCTTGATTTTTTCTTCTTCTGCCCAAGATTAGTGAATTCCTTAACATTGGGTTGACACTCTTCATCTTTATAACAGCAACTCATCTTTATACTTTTATATGAAAAGTCATTAACAACAGTCATACTGTTTTCCTTTGACACTGAGCTCTTAGTATTAATCTTATCTTGAGTAGGATTAAACTTTGGTGTCTCCAGCATCACCTCCTTTCTGGTATGTTCTCTTTCTTTTCTTGCACGTACTTTTCTTGTCCTGTGTGCAACAGAAGATGGAGAGCATCTCTTGTTATTATGTACATTCTTCCCTACTAATCCTATACTGTTAAAAAATGTAGTGCGATCAAAAGGGTACAAAATGCTCTCTGTTCCGCTTCTATTAACTTTGTCATTAAATGTCGTACATTGTGAACTTTCTGTACAACAGCCAAGGTAATCTTGGGCTATTTTGGTGTTATTCTTATCAACTGCAGAAGACCTTATTGTTCCCAACATTTTACTGACTTCAAATGGTTTCTCTTGACACTTATATCTAATAAAGGATTTACTGATAATATCGCTATCATTGCTGTGATCAGTACTTTCAGAATGCTTTTGTGCGTTATGACACGGTGTAAAATTATTTGTAGTAAAACTGTCTACACCACTATCAATATTACTCTTATCTGCACTACTATTCTGGAATGTGTTATCATGGCTAAAATACTTATGATCAATAGATAATACCTCAATATCATTTGGAATTGCCTGTACATTATTCATTGAACTCAATTTCTTGTCATATCTTTTATTTCTGCTACATGCCCCCGAAAAAGGTCTAAATTCACTTATATAATTTGATGGTAGGGAAGATATAGAATGCCATGCTCTCTTGATTATATCCCCATCTACATCTTTTCCCTGAGATTGTTCACAAGAGTTTCTTAGTGAGTTCCCTATAAAATTTTCTTGGCTTGTTTCTTCAGGTAAACTTAGTGGTCTCCTCGACTCCTTAGTTATTTTATGAAAAGTGGTAATGTCAGCTGATGATACTTCCTTATATTTCTCCTTTCTGGCTGCCTTATTATCTGTGTCTTTATCAAGTTTTTGTGAAGATGACTTAAATTTTTTTCCCAGGGTTTTGGAGTTTGCTTTACTGTACGTTCTTGTAATATTTTGTTTAAAGTTTACCTCTTCATAAAATTCCTCATTAGGGATTGTTGCTGATTCTACTTTACGATACTGAGACTTTGATAAGTTGTATCTACTACTGGTGCCATGACAAGTTTCCTTGACAAACTTATTGCTTGAGTTCAGTCCCTCAGAACTTCCTGGATCAAGTTTTCTTGGCGATGATATTACATTGGTACTTTGGGAGTGTGACAGATTACAACTTGGGTTGATACTATCAACACTGTCAGCACACTTTGGGACTGAAGACATTGTTTCACAATTTTCTATATAATACCTGTCCATGAGGGTTATTTCCATTTTCCCTTGGGGATAAGGTGGATCAGAATTAGTAGTGACAGCATCACCAGTACCAGCCATTGAGTTTTGTGTTGAAGTCAACTCTTCATATTCTCCTTTAAGCCCATTTGAAGGTGACACTGACATTCTACCCTGGAGGTCATACATATCAGAAACAGAGCTGACAATATCACCTGCATCTTCCTCAGATTCAAGCCCTAAGTTAGGCTTCTTATAACATTCTTGATTAATATCTTTTGATGATGATGTCATATGAGGCCTCTGGGTGTCTGATGTAACTGTATTACTGTTGCCAGAGTTACCAATAATTTCATTAGATTCCTGTATCATGATCTCATAAACTTCTTGGTGAAGGTTTTGAGCACTTAATATTATTTTGTTGTCTGGGGAATCAGATAAAATTGAATTAATGTTAGAAGTGTCACCAGCATTCTCTGTAGCTTGTGTTTGGACAGTCAGCTCATGCCATATTTGATTGACAAGATTCTCTAAAAATGGTAATTCATTGCCAGTTTGGCTACTGGAAACATTAGAAAGAGTTTTCACGATATCAATCAATTTTTCTGGAGAGTTATGGCAGGGTTCTCTTGCTTTTCTATTACTTACTGACTCTTCAGTAAGATATTTTTTGTTCATGTCATTGATACTGTCTGAATGTTTTTCTTTTGTTTCTTTAACACCCAAACTGCAATTAGTGCTGTTGTTAGAGGTTGGTAGGTTCATGGTACAAACATCTTCACACTCAGTGTCATCAGTTTTGTTTTCTTTTATTGCACCAATTTCTTCCATCATATTGACACTATTATAAACTGTATACATTTTTTTGGTATCATTTGATGTTTGAGTAACAAGAGAATGGTTTATGTCTTCAGTATTAGGACAAGTATTATTGGTGTGGTCCATTATATTATCTTTATCCTTAATAAAATGTCCGGAGTCATTCATTACATCATCTTCTGTTGCAGGAACCTCTCTAATTTGCTCTGAAGCACAGTAGCTGGGAGCTGGTTCATCTGGATCTGTAATTATAGGTGTGGGAGATAAAGTTTCCATGAGGGCATTCATATTTTGTAGAGACAGGTCTTCCATTGGAGCATTTTTATTTTGTGGAGATAGGTCTTCCATGGGAGCATTTCTATTTTGTGGAGTTAGGTCTTCCAAGGGAGCATTTCTATTTTCTGGAAATAGGTCTTCCAAGGGAGCATTTCTATTTTCTGGAAATAGGTCTTCCATGGGAGCATTTCTATTTTCTGGAGATAGGTCTTCCATGGGAGCATTTCTATTTTCTGGAGTTAGGTCTTCCAAGTGAGCATTTCTATTTTGTGGAGATAGGTCTTCCATGGGAGCATTTCTATTTTCTGGAAATAGGTCTTCCATGGGAGCATTTCTATTTTCTGGAGATAGGTCTTCCATGGGAGCATTTATATTTTCTGGAGTTAGGTCTTCCAAGTGAGCATTTCTATTTTGTGGAGATAGGTCTTCCATGGGAGCATTTCTATTTTCTGGAGTTAGGTCTTCCAAGTGAGCATTTCTATTTTGTGGAGATAGGTCTTCCAAGGGAGCATTTCTATTTTCTGGAGTTAGGTCTTCCAAGTGAGCATTTCTATTTTGTGGAGATAGGTCTTCCAAGGGAGCATTTCTAGTTTCTGGAAATAGATCTTCCAAGGGAGCATTTCTATTTTCTGGAAATAGGTCTTCCATGGGAGCATTTCTATTTTGTGGAGATATATCTTCCATGGGAGCATTTCTATTTTGTGGAGATAGGTCTTCCATGGGAGCATTTCTATTTTGTGGAGATAGGTCTTCCATGGGAGCATTTCTATTTTGTGGTGATAGGTCTTCCATTGGAGCATTTCTATTTTGTGGAGATATATCTTCCATTGGAGCATTTCTATTTTGTGGAGATAGGTCTTCCATGGGAGCATTTCTATTTTCTGGAGATAGGTCTTCCATGGGAGCATTTCTATTTTGTGGAGATAGGTCTTCCATGGGAGCATTCATATTTTGTGGACACAGGTTTTCCATTGGAGCATTTCTATTTTGTGGTGATAGGTCTTCCATTGGAGTATTTCTATTTTGTGGCGATAGGTCTTCCCTGGGAGCATTTCTATTTTGTGGAGATAGGTCTTCCAAGGGAGCATTTCTATTTTGTGGTGATAGGTCTTCCCTGGGAGCATTTCTATTTTGTGGAGATAGGTCTTCCATGGGAGCATTTCTATTTTGTGGAGATATATCTTCCAGTGGAGCATTTCTATTTTGTGGAGATATATCTTCCATGGGAGCATTTCTATTTTGTGGAGATAGGTCTTCCATGGGAGCATTTCTATTTTGTGGAGACAAGTTTTTCTTGGGGACATTTCCGTACTGAGGAGGTACGTTAGTGTACACAGTCATTCCCCCTTTCTTCAGTTCATTTACAGGAAAATTATAAGTTAGATGATCATTATTTGTCTGGACTTTTGTTGTAGGAAAATGTCCACTATGAGTAAGAAGAACTGGATGAGTTCCTTTACACTGATTATGTTTTTGTGTAAGGTTAATATTGTGGCACAAGACCTGACTGCCTCTGGAAGATGTTTTCATATTTTCTGTACTCGTATTTGTGCGTATTTGATAATAACCACGACCCTCATTATCTACAACCTGTATTCCTCCATTCAGACTTTTAAAAGAATTGCACTTTCTATTTTCATTTGAACAATATGTTATTATTATCTTTGCAATACCTTTTTTTTTTTTATTCTGTTTAGTCATATAACCTTTTCTGTTGTCTCTATGATCCACATCTGGAGATTTTTCACATAAAATGAAGTGAGCATTAGTTACAGATCGATTTTTTTTCTCATCATTAACTAATCTTCCATGTTTTGTAATTTTATTTACAAGTGTGGCCTGAATTTTTTTTTTTCTTTCATGACATTTCTGTAAAAATATTTCATCGGGTGAATCAAAACCACTAAAGCAACTTTCTGTTTCACTACCGCGACCATGACTGTCACTTAAAAGACTTCCAACATCCAAGGACTCTGGGGAGTCATCATCCTCAAAGAGCTGTGGTGTGTTTATGGTACTGCCAAGGTGATCTACCATCCTTTCCATATTGAAGATGGCAGACACATAAACCTGTAAAACAAAGACAGGGATGAAGTTAACTCACCATGGAACAGTATTTTATATAAAATACAGTACTACAGTATTACTGTAGCTATGTTTTAATTAATACAGCATGCCCTGACAATTCACAGACCTCGATTATTTGCGGATGACCTCCTGGATATACCCAAGAATGTCTAAGGGTAGTTTTAAAGTTGATGGCATTTTTGCAACTGGGACAGGGAGCCATTCATTTTAGAGACAATAAAGTCTTTTACCTGTATTGTATATATGTGTGTGTGTGTGTGTGTGTGTAGACACACACACACATACAAATAAATAATAAAGGGAAAATCCTCTCACAAATAATAGAAACAAAACAACCAAATGTAGAAAAAATGTGAGTTACTCACATTTTTAATACATTTGTTTTTTATTATTTGTGAGAGGATTTTGCCATTATTATTTATTTGTATGTGTTTTGCACGCACACGCACACACACACTGTATATTGTTACAACCTTCACACCCTCTTCTAGGACTCACTAGAGGATGTACAGTCAGCCCATAGGCCCAATATATCAGAGGAGACTCTGAAATAACAGCTTCTGTTAACAGAGAGATTAAATGTTAAACACAGACCCTTACCTTATTTCTGGCTAACAATCTCCTGACAGCTGACAGGTATTTATTTTAAAACCACTGTTCCCATTAAAACTGGTTCAATCAAAACGATACAACATAATATAATGAATATGTGCTCTCCATCCATGCACATACAAAAAAGCCACAAATCAATTCACTCAGAATAATGCTATATCCACCAAATACAATGCTCTCTCACTACTACAATATTCTTTAGACTATAATGAACATATTACACTTTAGTTAATACCATAATTATCCATGGTTGCCCAGATAATAGTAGATAAATATGCACCACACAAGCTTGACCCTCCTATCCTCTTCAACCAAGCTACCGAGAGTGTGTCACCAAAACAAAAATGTTCCAATACTTTCTTGTTTCATCAACATATAATTACTAATTCTTCTTATACTTCACAACTGCTTCTTACAGTCTTTCATAACTGTACAAAAAACAAAACAAAAATTCTACAAAGTTTACGTAATGAAACAAATACTATTATACATACAGTGAGTTCTGCTATAACGCGTGTTTTGATAACGCGAATTTGCTCTAACGCGATTTATGAATTAGGAACGATATTTGTATAACGCGAACGCTTGTTTGCTATAACGCGATTTTTGCTTACTATTTCTCCAATTTTGTGGTATTAATTGTGAATATGGTAAAGAAGAATATCTCCAAGAAGCGTTCTGGTGATAGAATTCCCGGTGATGATCGTAAAAGAAAGGATATAACACTTGAAGAGAAGCTCGATGTTATCAACCTCAAAATCACCCTTCTCCCCCATCAAGTTACATTCATATTTTTTCAAGGTAGTGTTACATTTACTGTATGATTTCATTATTAGATATGAATGTAACATTTATTTAGACTGTGGTATCCTTTGTGTTAGGCTAACTACTAAATTTTTTTGATTTCGAGTAATCTGCACCTAACCCTATTTTCTCCATAAGCCCTGTTATTTCTATTACGCGATTTTCTATAACACGATATTTTACAAGAACACAATTATCGCGTTATAGCAGAACTACCGGTACACCCACCGCGGAATGTGAGCATCCTGGGTTGACTGTATATATATATATATATAAACATGTTGCAATTCGCAACCATGCTTGTTTCTTTAATGTAACAAGCTTCCCACAAGTACTTTTATTTTGCAAAATTTTCTCCTTCCCGCTCAAATAAACTAAGAAATCCCGGGAGACTTTTGAGGAAAAAATATCCATGACGAGAGCTGCTACAATACTAAATTTGGTGCCAATGAAGGTAAACAAACACACACAGGATGACCATACTGCATCAGCGAAGAAGACAGTATTACCAGACCTAAAAAAATCATCCAGCACGAAGTGGAAGAGGTTCGATCATTTAAAAATACCGCTTGAAGGAACAATACCTTCGAAAAGATTTTTCGTCGGAAGGGGTAGATGTTGTTTAATAATATGGCCGTAAGAGTCTGCATACAGATTTAATCCAGAAACAAGGTGCTCGTTCTGATGAAAAACCCTTTAATACCAGCAAAGGGTGGTTTGAGCACTTCAAGAAATGCCAGTGCTGATACTGAGGCTGCAAGTAATTATCCAGCAATATTAAGGCAATCATTTAGGCTGATGGATACACACTACAACAAGTATACAATGTTGATGAAACAGGCCTCTTTTGGAAGCACATGCCTGTCAGGACATTTATTTCAACAGAGGAGAAAACAGCTCCTGTTTTTAAGAACTGCAAGGAGACTTTAAATTAAAGCCCATGCTTTTTTCTTTTTTCTTTTTTATTGGGCACCCCCCTACATCCTGTGTAAGGTGAAGCACAGAAGCGTTTACAGCGCCCAACAGGGAAGCATGCTACGTTAATGCTTGCCTTTATGTCTCATGAGTTAAGGGCATAGAAGCCTGAAGGGTCATATGTTTTTTAGTCAAGGGCGTGCTTGTGTACCACTCAGAAAACCCAGGGGCTTTCAAAGCCTATGCCAAATCTAGGTTACCAGTGATATGGCACTCCAATAGGAAAGCATGGATGACTGGTAGCCTGTTCCAAGATTGGTTTACAAACTGTTTCTGTCCTGTAGTAGAAAGGTACAGTAACCAAAAAAAATATTGCCAAAAAAGCCTTGTTACTGCTAGATAATGCCCCCAGCCACCCTGTTAGCCTTAATGACCTTTCCACTAATATCAGGGTTGAATACTTGCCCAAGAACACAATTTCCTTGAATCAAGGTGAGATTGCCAGCTTTAAGGCATACTATTTATACAGGATTTTTAGACAAGTTATAGCTGCAATTGATGGTGAGGATCAGCAATCAGTCCAAAATTTATGGAAGAAGTTTAACATCATTAATGCTGTAGAAAATATTGCTGAGTCATGGGATGAGGTCAAATATGCAACAATGATTGGTGTGGAAGAACATCTGGCCAGACTGTGTCCACGATTTCCAAGGTGTTCCCAATGAGGATCTTATGTGAATGAAACAGGAGAAAGCTGCTGGTGAGGAACAGGAGGATACCTGTACAGAAGTTCCATCTACATCTGTCAATTGACAACAAAGGTTTTGTCCACAGTGCTTAGTCAACTTCAAAATGTGATGCAAACCGTTGAGACACACTATTCAGATCATGAATGCAGCCCCAATTTTGTGCCGTTAACAACAGACCACATTGGACAAGTTCTTTGCCTCATGACCACAGTCAGCAGCAGAAGAATATGATGATGATCCACAGAGAGGGGTAGGGATCAGCAGTGACCCACCAATAATTTCAATTGCACTACCTCATTGTCCTCACCTCACTTGACTCAGCACTCAACATGGTTTCTGGCAAATAAAATTTGAGTGTTTTGTTCATTTATTAACATGATACATCATGAATAACTCATCGTATGTGGTTAAAACCATCTAATTTCATACATACCTGTATAGTATATGTGTTTGTGTCACTTTTTGGCACTCAAAAATTTTTCGTACGGAATCTATCACTTTTATAATTGTAAATCAATGGGGAAATGGTTTCACGCTACGGAATTTTCAGGAACCTAACCCTTCCATAACCCAGGGGATGCCTGTATTATACAATGACAAATCTGGAAAGTTTAAAATTTTCAAAAAAATTATTAAAGAACAACATCTCTTAAGTTATCTTAAAGCTGCATGAATGCCAACATATTCTATAAATGCCTTTGCACAGAGAAATTATTTTATGAAGAAAACCACTGTCTTGATTTCATTATCAAATATTTCAAACTTTGCTTCAAAGCTTGTATCACCTGTAGGTATGTGGGGAGATTTTCCTGAGAAAACTGATTGCAGAACCAATTACAACTTCGTGGAATATGGGATTTGTTCCTGGACCATGCATCACACGAGACACCACTGTCAGGCGACCAGGCGAATACACACAGCAAATTTAAACTGTCTTGAGTGCGTTATTTCAAAAATAGGTGCGCGTAAATTAGCTTTTGTTATTAATTGAACAATCACGTTATTCCCAAAACGCTTAAATCAAACACGAGTTACCTGTACTGCTTTCATATCTGGGGTGGCTCTTCTGTCCAACTGTTAGAGAGGGTGGAATCAAAGGCATTTCGTCTTATTAACTCTCCTCCTTTAGTTGACAATCTTTCTTCCTTTTCTCTTCGTCACAATGTTGCTTTATTCTCTCTCTTTTACAGGTACTTTAACAGACAATGTTCAGTGGATTTGGCATCCTGTGTACCGCCAGCAAGGCCGTGGGTTCATAACACACGTCTTGCCCGCGGTGCCCACTGTTTCTCTGTGGATGTCGGTCACACTAGAATAACCCGTTATAGTGCATCCTTCTTTCCTCACACAGCCAAACTGTGGAATGCTCTGCCTTTTTCTCTTTCCATATTCATACAATCTGTCTCACTTTAAAAAGCTGGTTTTCCGGCATCTTTGTGGTGTAGATTAATATAACCTTTATCTTTTCTATTTTTAATTTCTTTCTATTCTTATTTTTTCGCCCCCTAAGCCCCACTGTGGGTTGTTCGACCCGTGCCCAGGTGGGGTAATTCCCGTAAAAAAAAAAATCATGTCCTGGATCCTGTAGTGACAACGACTCCTACGGTGGACAATAACACTAAATTGCTTGAAGATCGGTATCCTAGTTTATTCTCTGCCGTGTTGTTACCAGAAGTATGTCACTTAGAGATGAGCATAATACTTGTGTTGACCCTGTTCCTAATGTAGCTGACACAAGTGGTGCAGTTTATGATGTAAATGACTTTGGTGTTAGGGACCTATATGTGTCGCAAGACAATGGACGAGTTGACGGTTCTGGGTAAACACCAGAGATACACTCTGCCACATTCGTAGTGATACGGTATACTATATAATTTGTAATAAAAGTTTAAAGTCCTGCTA